GCCACGCCTCTTCCCGCCCGGCTCTCGGCAACGCTTCTCTGCAGCGCGCGCACTGAGCGACGGAGGCCCCGCCCACCCTCCGCGGACAGCCAATCGTGACCTTGTTTCACTGCTCCGGATGCCCCGGATGATCCGGCCTGCCGCGCGTCCCGCCCCCTGCTTGGGTCAACAGGTTACGACGCGATGCTCCGGAAAGGGGCTGGTCAGGGGAGAACAGTCCCACTCCGTCCCCTGGAGAAGATAAACCTGCTCCCCTGTATTTCACAGGGTCGGGTCCTGCCAGGCTACTCTGGGCAAGTTGGTTAACCTCTTCCCGCCCTAGATACCCCTTCTGGGAACAAAACTACCCACTCGCCCTCTTCTCTCAGTAGAGAAGATGCCTTTGGGAGCCCCAAGTCACCGTCCTCACCAGACGGGTCCCTGTAAAGAAAGGTGAGGACCCTGGACCAAAGCTCACCACCTGGAGAGGTCTTCCCAGTCCCGCTCCTCAGGCCTTTCACTTTACCGGTGTCTCAAGAACACATGCCACTGAAATTATCTTGTTCCTTGGTTTTCACGCTAAATGTCACCTGCCTCCCAGCCTGTGATCCCCACCAGGGCAGGGACTGGGTCTTGTCAGTGCTGGGTATCCAGGATCTGGAATAGAGTCTGGCACCCAGTCGCAGTGGATGCTTCATAAATATTTCTGGCTGTTTTGCATGCACCTTCTTTTTTTCCATTACCTTTATAATTTGGGGGGACATGTGTGTGTCCTACACCTCTAGGGCCTCTGTTTCTTCTTCTGTGGGCGACATGATCCCTTTTGGCTCTGAGTCTGGGGTGCATGTGGTTAGGAGGGCTGATGGGGAAAGGAGGCTCAGAAAGAGGTACCGCTTGGGAAGGGTATAGGGATGAGGGGGTAGGCAGTGTTGGTTGCTGAGTGGGGAGGTTACTGGAAGTGCTGCTTGGGAGGTCAGGGTAGAACCAGACAGCTGGGTTTTATTCCTGGTTCCAGCATTTCCTGGTAGCATGACCTTGGGCTGGTTACTGAGCCATTTTGGGCCTCAGCTTCCTTATCTGTACAATGGGAGTAGTGGTTGTACCCACCTTATGTGGCTTTAAACTTGACATAAGTAAAGTGCCTGAAACAGGCCTGGCACAGAGGAAGTTCTGTCAGAGGGGTGACCAATCCTCTTGCTGAGTGCGAGGGCTGCTGAACTACTCACTTCCTGGCAGCATCATGCAAAAAGTGACTGCTGCCCTTGTGCAGGCTGGGACTCCTGAGAAAGATGACCATGGCCTACCCTGTAGTCCAGCAGGGGGATTCTGACTCTCTGTGGCCACTCACTGACCCTGGGGTAACTGTCAGTAAGGACTTTGGGCTAGGACACACACTGGCCAACCTAGGAGAATGGGTCTGAGCTGAATGTCCACAGGCACGGCATAGCAAGGATCTTGAACCAATATTAGTGGGAGTCTAATTTTTAAGAAGTTTAATAAATAGTGCGAGGATCTTCATCATGGGGAAAACCCAGAGTTGGTGTAGTTCCTCACCTTATATGCTAGTATTTATATTACAGGATAAATTTAATTTAGAGTTATAAATATGACGGCCTCTAAAGATCTTCATATGGCTCTGAGTGTCCTTGTGTTTGGGGGCAACTTTAGGGCCTCCCCTTTCCTCAAATAAGCCTGGCTCATGTTCAGGAAGTTTTCACTGTTTAACCAACCCCTTCCCCCCCGCCCACCCCAAAAAAACCCCCACAAAAAACTCCAATACCTCTCTTTAGGATTCTTTGACCTGGAGATTCATGAGGCACTTCAGAATGTTACTAGAAAAGTGGATTCCGCTTCTAGAAACCTTGGCGGAGCTTCAGCTCTCAACATAGAGAAGATGTGTTGGTTAGTTTTACCCATCAGCGTGGTTGTGCTATAATATCCAGTTGTTCAATTAAACACTAATCAAAGTGTTGCTGTAAAAGTATTTTGTAGATGTAGTTAATATCTCCAGTCGAGTTTAAGTACAGGGGATGACTGGATAATGTGGGTGGGCCTCATCCAATCAGTTGCAAGACTTTAAAAGCAAACACTGAAAAGCCTTAAAAGCAAATACTGAGGTTTCTCTGAGGAATAAGCATCAGCTCCTGGCCAAGAGTTTGCAGCCTGTTGGTCTGCCCTACAGATACCAGACTTGCCTCACCAGCCCCAATAATTGCATAAGCCAATGCCTTGAAATCAGTCTCTTCATACACACACATATGCTCACAAACACATATAGCATACTGGTTCTGTTTCTTTGGTAAACCCCTGATTGGTGTAGGAACTAAGTAGGTGAGTCTGGAATCAGTCAGCCTCAGTTGAAATCCCAGACCCACTATTTATACTTATTTACTGCCTGAGTGACCTTGCACAACTTGCTGGATCTCTTGGAGCATTAGGTGTGTTCTCCATAAAATGAGGATAAGAGTAGCTCTTACCTCCCAGGGTTGCTATGGGGATAAAATTGAGAGGGGTCAGGAAATTAACATTATGATAACAGTTAACATAGACATAGCACTACTATGTGCCAAGTCGTTTCCAAGTGCTCAGTGTGTATTAAGTCATTTAATCCTCACAGTACTCTGAGGAAGTTGGCCTACTGCTACCTCCATTTTACAGGTGGGGAAACTGAAGCTCCAAGAGGTCATGTGACTTGCCTGAGGTCACCCAGGTAGTTAAATGTTGAAGTCTAGAGTGTTTAGCACACTGAGTGCTTCTGGTAAGTACTCAGCATGTGTACGATGTGAATCAGATGATGATGAAGCCTTTATTTAAAAAAATGCAACACCATTCTTTTCAACTCTTCATTAAAAAGACCTTCTAAATCACGACAGCCAAATAAGCCAGCAATTCTACCCACTGTAGAATACACATAGGAAATAAAAACCTATGTTCACATAAAACCTATGAGCCAATGTTTATCAAGGTTTTATTCGTAATTACTGACAGCCATTAAAACCTAAATGTCCTTCAATGGGTGAATAGATAAAGAAATTGGGACCCAGCCATGCAAAGGAATACTATTCAGCCATAAAAAAGGAACAAGCTACTGATAACAGGAATCAATGCAGATGAACCTCAAATACATTGTTAGTGAAAGAAGCCAGACTCAAAAGGCTATTTACTGTGTGATGCCATTTTATAGGACCTTCTGGAAAAGGCAAAAGTATTGGGGCAGAAAGCAGGTCAGTATTTGCCAGGGGCTGGGATGTGCTATTAAAGGGATACAGGGGAAATATTTGGGCTAATGGGAGTGTCCTATATTTGATATAGGTGGTGGTTATACCACTGTCTGTATTCAGAACTATACACTGAAAAAGGTGAATTTTACTGTATATAGATTATAACTCGATAAAAAAAAAAATAAACAACAAAATTTTTTTATAAAGGGCAGAGCTTGGGAAATCTCTTTCTGGAGCTCCTGCCACAGCTAACCAAAAAGTTACTAACCAGCTCCAGCTTGTCTGTTCTTGACTTCGCCTTCCCTCACACTCTCTGAAACTGCTTGATCATGGAACCCAAAACCAGCCCCACCAGGTTCTGGTAAAATCAAGATCCTACCTTACCCATGCATGGGAAATACAAAAGGAGCTTGTGAACTGGACACACCCTAACACACCAGATCTCCGACGTCCAAAAGACTGTGGGATCCCCCAAATCTAACACCCTAGGAGGCCCTGCTTATCTTTCAGCATTGCCAAATGCAAGACCTTTCTGGAACTCCCCCTTTGAAAACTGCTTTCAAGGGCTTGTTACAGTCAGCTCAGCAAACATCAAATGTGTCTACTCGTCACTGTTATGAATTGGCCACTGTGCTGGGGATGGTGAGGACACAAGCACTATTTAGCTGTCTTTAATGACAGGCACAGCCAGAGCCACAGTCCAGTGTCATGAATGGCTGAACAAAGTGGCCAGTCTTCATTCCGAGGTGGATTTGATTTCTGCTGACAGCCTGGTTACTGGAAGCCAGATGAAGCCAACAAGGGGTCCTCACTCCTGCAATACTCATCAAAAACAAAGAGGAATTCTCTGGAGGCTAGATCCTGCCTTTCAATGAGCTGCTTGTGGGTGAGTGGGGGGTGGAAGTTATTCATATGCCTCAGTTGACACACGGCATAGTAGGTTCACAAAATGATTTGGTGCCCGTTGAGTGAGTGCAGGGCTCAAGAAAGCAGCCTCAAAAGGGAGATTCCAGAATGTTCCAAGACTGTAGGAATGTATGTGAAATCTCTTCAAAAATGTCATCTATTTGGCCATGACACCACACGCCTTACCTAGCTGGACCCAGAGATATGGAAGACAGGCCTACTCAGACCACATCGGAGACGCCGGGAATCACTAGAACTGGCAAAGTAGCAAAATGTAGCTAGATTTTAGGGGTTCAACCATGTCCCCCCTCATCACCTCACAATTAGGCACCTCAAGTAATTCAACTTGGCAGGATTTTAACTTGTGGCCTTGGAGTGAGTACTCCCCTGTCCCCCTCAACGAGGGCAGGAGTGAGGCCAGTTAGGACACAAAGGGATTCAAGATACTGTGAGCCTCACAACTGCCAACAGGAAAAGATCAGTGCTCTTGAAAGTGCAGTTATAAAACAACTTTGTGTTTTCATCCGTGTTGTCCAGTTAGGCCTGGTGAAAAACACAGCGTTCCTGTGTGTTATCTGGAAGTCCTCAAAAGCTGTAGCTTCAGAAGTTTCTAGAACTGATTAAAGACTCAGCACTGACTCACCCTCTTCCTGTCCTACTCCCTTATGACTCAGAGATCTACCTTTGAAGACTTCCCACCATGTACCTGATGTTGGATCTCTGGGTTCTGGAGGGTGCAACGGTTGATGATGGCTCAGAGGCAGATCTGGAATAGGGAGAAAGAAAAGAAGATGAGGGAGTGTTCTAGGTGCTGCCCGTTCCTTAAGCCTGTCCTGAAATCTTGAGTGTGTAGTCCGTGGGTGCGTGTGTGTTGGCATCCAACCTCCCCAGTCCATTCATGACAAATGATGGTATGATCCCAGACCAGCACTGTCCAGTAGAGCTAGTGTGAGAGACACAACTGCCAGCCACCAATGTCAGCCATGTCTGATTTTCGATGTTCCATAGTCACATTAAACAAGTAAAAAGAAACATGGGAACTTAATTTTAGTAATATATTTTAATCCAATATATCCAAAATATTTTCATTTCAATGTGGAATCAACATAAAAGATTATTAATGAGATTTTTTTTAACATCCTCCTTTTCATAGTCTCCGAAATTGGTGTGTGCTTTTCATTTATACAGCACATCTCAAATTGGACCAGCCACATTTCAAGGGCTCATTGACCACATGTGCACATGTGGCCAGTGGTGTCCATACTGAACAGCGCAGGTGGAGACAAATGTGGGCCCCTTGCCTATAGGGCAGAGCAAAGTGGGGCAGAGGCTTGCATTGAAAAGAGCTGTGAAGACACCTTCAGGTTGCAGGTTGGAGAGTCCCAGGGTGCTTTTGGCCATCCATTTCCCTTTTTCTTCCTTTCTATTCATGACATATAGGACTTCCTCGTTGGAATCCAGCCCACACACCCGCCCACCCATCCAGGTGCCCCAGCGCACGCCCCCAGCCTCTAGCCCTCTCCCGTTGCTCCCCAGTACCCCAAGGGCCACCCACCTCAGAATTCACCTTTCTGCGCCTCGGGCCATGTGGATGTTGCCTTTCCTGTCACTCAACTTCTTGCTCCTGCCCCGCCTTGTTGTAACCGTTGCTTCCCTCGGTTTCCACAACAACGCTACCAAGGGGCGGGGAAAGGGGCGTGCGGCGCCGAGGCCCCTTTTGATTGGTGGGTAATCAAGCCTCTTCTTCCTCGCCCCTGTCTTGTACGCGCTTCTCCTCGCAATGGGTCCCGCAAGCTGATTGGACAGTCCTGTGGCGAGAGCGGCTAGTCCTCGCTCAGATCAGTTCCGCGGGGCGGTGGCGAAGATGGGCGCCCTGCGCGCTGACTGGCTGAGAGGCACGCGCGGCAGGGAGGGGAGGGGCGTACGCAGAGCCGCTGTAGTCTCGCGCGGCGGTTGCGAGCGCGTGAGGGACCTGTGCTGCGTTGCGTGCGGTTAGGCAGCAGCGGCAGCAGGAGCAGCAGCAGCTGTGTATAGGAGTCATGAAACACCACGAGGTAAGAAACGAGGAACGAGCAACTTCTTTGCTCCAAACTTTTTCTTTGTGGAACCAGGGGATCCCTTTTTCTTGTCCTGTGTCCGTAGGGGGAGCCGGACGGCGCAGGCGCAGTGGGCGCGGTTGTGCCCTGGGGCCATTCGTAAATTGCAGTGCGCATGTGCGGGGGAGGTATTTATAATTCCGCAACCAAGGCTGTAATGGGGTTTTCTTTTTCTGGGGTCTGTACAGTACCTGGGAAGCTTGCACATTTCTTGTAGCTCACCTAGCGGGCAGAGTTGCAGACTTTGGCGGGGGAGGAGGGAGGGTGTGGGACCCTTGCTCCGGATGCGAGCATGTCTTGCACAAGTCTTGCACCATGCTGCCGCCTGAGGATTAAGAAGGGGCTTTGCAATCAGCCCTCTCTGGCACGACCTTTGGACCCCTTCCCTTGCCCGGGACGTCCCCAAGAAGCTTAGGAGATGTGGGAGATGCTGCCAAGGCTGGCTTCCGGCAAGCACTAAAGCTGATCTGGCTTTCTGGTAATCTAAGAGGTCATCTCTGTCAACCGCTTTCTGTCACTGAGGAGAAATCTCAGGCTGACAGCCACTCTTGAAGCCTATCTTCTGATTCCTAACCTGGGCCTCTTTCCCGTAAAATAAAGCCTTCCGATGCACTTATCGACCTAGCTGATAATAATTTTGTTATCATTTATTAACATTAAGTGATCTGACTTTTAAGTAACTATCATTAAATAATAAACTTATTAAAAATTTAAAGAATGTTTTAGCAAGTACTCTTGTGCTAATGAGATTCTGTTGCCTCATTCTCTTATCCTCACAGCCTTTGATGTAGACTATTATTAACTATTGTTATTGTGGTTTTTGTAGAAGAAGAAACAGTCTCAGAGATGTTAAGTGATTTGCCCAAAGGTTCCCAGTTAGTAAATGGAAAACAGAAAGAAACTCAAGACTCCAGAGTTGAGTTGCTAACCACTATACCATGCTGGTCCCCACATGAAAATTAGCAGGTCTAGAGAATTCTTGTCTCCCCCCGCCCCGCCCCATTTAAAAACTTGTGGTAAAATACATTTAACATAAAATTTACCATCTTAACCATTATCAAATGTACAGTTCGTTGGCTTTAAGTACATTCTCACTGTTGTGCAACCATCACCACCATCCACATTCAGAGCTCTTTTCTTTTGATCTTGCAAAACTGAAACTCTGTACCCATAAAGCACTAACCTCCTATTCCCTCTTCTTCCCAGCCCCTGGCAACTGTTAATCTATTTTCTGTTTCTATGAATTTGACTAAACTAAGTACTTCATATAAATGGAAGGAGGGATTAATTGTTTTTATTCACAAATTGAATACCGCTACCTCTACCTGCCTCCTTTATTATTATTATTTTTGGTAGTTTACTCAGAATCTTTTGAAACCTTTAACCCATAAGTTCTCGATCATTTTCGACATGATACCCATTCAACTTTAAGATTATAGAATAAAGTTCTAACATAATTTAACTTTTCAAACTCTCTGTAACCCCGGAGAAAAAGCCACATTCATTTTAAAAGATGCAGATTGAAAGATTCATGTGGCATTTTGAAAATGGAGTTAATTTTAATTTTTGCTAGTTAGCAGTCAGGTAAAGTAGGCCTTTGAGGACCTTGGGGTGGCCACAGCCTGAGACTCATGGTTGAACTGGAGGACATGGTTTACCTTAAACTTTTTCCTTAGCAGAAGGAAGGAGGAACTTCAAACCCGATGTTCAAAGTGACTTTGGAGTAAAAAAAAAAATAGTTATTTTGCTATGTTCTCCTGTTATCATTCTCTGCTAACATTTGCCAAGTACGCACCGTGATGATAGCCACAGAGTTTCTGTGTGGGAGGAGCAGTCGTTTCCCAGCCCAGTTTGCACCGAAAGTAAGATTAGTTTTACTCCAGGTGTTTGCTGCCAGATCTATGAAAATAGCAAGCATGCTTTCACTCATTTTTAATAAAGGCTGAAAAAAGCTTTCAGCTCCTATCCACATCAAAAAATTTATTTCTATTTGGGACTATGTCCCTCCTTCCAAGTGACTCCTTGTCCACTGAGAGGTTAACCTCCTTCAAAAGACCTTTGTGGCCTCCAGAGGTTTCTCCTGAGGAAGTGCAGTTTACAGGTGATTTAAGTATTGCACAGAAAGGTGCCGGACTCACAGCAGTGTCACATAGCAAGTTAACCAGGACTGATATCTGATATTATGGCAGTTAGGATTCCAGTTTGAGGGGAGATTTGTTATTGTTTTGATGACAGTCTGCTGTCACTGCCAATCAATCTCCCCTTTGTGATCTGAGATGAAAAATGTATCCCTTCAGTGGCCTAATTGAGACAGGTCACCCTTGGGCCCTGGCTGAAGCTGGCTCTTACAAGTCCAGAGCAAGCCTTGGGAATTGTCTTGGGGTCAGAACAAGATGGATGAGGGAACTGCTTATCTCAGGTTATTGGATTTTTTTAAAAATTGTTTTTGCCGTTGCAGATAAGAGATCGAAGTAATGATGCCAGTAGCAACTGAAAAAACAGCTATTGCATCATGTAAATGAGCCTGTTAATTCCCATGAGAATTAGTCCCTTTCAGTCACCCAGAGCCCAAGTCACTACTCATTCCCCTCCACAGCTGGGTACCTTGAGGGGAGAAAGCGTAATCATCTGGGGATACCTACTGTCCTCATTTAGGATCTTCCACTGCCCCCTGCCCCCCCTACCCCTGCCCAAAGGGTAGCTCTGTTGGTGCCCAGTTTGCTTATAATCTTAGGTCAAGATAGTGCCTTGCCTCAGGCAAGTTATTGCTTCAGCTGTCTTCACAGGAATAAGTACGTGAAAGTTCTGGAACTAGAGTTCTGGTCATGGGACAATTATTTAGAGCCAGAAAACTGAGTAAGAAGGTGAAAATTAATGGTGTCATAGGGATATGGGCTCTGGATAGGCCTGGGCTGAGCCCTGGCTCTGCCACTCACCAAATAATTGTGTAACCTAGGGCAACTTACTAAACCTCTCTGAGCTTGTCTGTGCCTGCTCCTTGGAATGAAGCCCATGTAGTTGTGACAGTAAAGGCTAATCTTAAAGAACATTATGAAGTTTCTGGAAACATGTCAAGGGGTATGCATAAAAGAAGCTCTGGTTCATTAATTTTAACTGTTGTGCCCAATTCCATTATATGAAAAGAAATGGAGTTTGATTTACTCAGTCTTTTAATAAATTTACAAACATCCTGTTGAGTGGGAACAAACAAGTTGCAAAAGAGTGTAAATTTAAAAAATGTACCAAATGAGACTTAAATGTACTGTTTATGGATATATACCTAATAAAAGGATAACTTGTAACAAGAGGTGAGAAATGTTAGAGGAATCGTTGCATGGGGAGCGGAGGGGGGAAATAGAGATGTGTGGAAGGCTTTATATGTGTCTATTTATTTATTTTTTTTAAAAGAATCTTCCATAACTAGAATATAATGAAATATCTGTTAAACCTGGGAGGTGGGATTCTAGATGTCTGTTGTTTCCTGTAATTTTTTTCCCTGAGTTCTTGTGTCCTTTGAAATAGAAGATGAGGGATAACTAGGGGGTTTCTGGCCGTTGAGCCCTGTTTTAGCATGTGAGTCTCTTTGACCCTTGCAGGTTAAATTTGGTGCCTGTTTGCAGGAAGGTGGTATGTTCTGAGATGGGGAGTGCTTGATCTCTTCACTGTCACACTCTTCTGCACGCTGTATTGAACAGGCGTTCAGAAAATGCTTTTGGGGTTGATTTTGCATTTGTAGGCAGGATGGACTCTGGTTGTGATCCCCTCTTCCTGAGCTATGTTTTTGTGGCCGGATAATGAGAAAAGCAGGCGCTCTTCACATTTATGGTGTCCTTTCAAAAACCCTGAGAGGTGGGTACTCTTTGTCTCCCACTTTATGGATTAAGAACTTGCCCAAGGTCAGTTATATCATGGTGGAGATGGGACCTAGACCCAGGTCTTTCTGATTTCTCGTCGATACAAGAGCCAGAGCCACAATAGTGTGATGATGCTGCTGGTGGCTGCTGCCAGTGGACATGGAGTCTTAGGAGCACCTGATCAGGTGGGCACGAGTATTACTTCTACTTTACAGGTGAGGAAACTGAGGCTCAGAGAATTAAATTGCTCAAAGTCACAGAGCCAGGAAGGATTTTGCCTGTCTCTGCCTTCTGTGCCTGCCATGGATCCCCCCTGATGATGCTGCCCCAGGCAGCTGGTGGCCTGCATGTTTCTGAGGACACAGCATCCTTGGTGGGAGGATGAGAGGGACATAATGGTCCCTACCTCATGGGGTTATGACTTCAAGGGGTTATTACTCTAGTGAGCGTTAGGTGAGCAGATGCGTACCGTAGCTAACATTTAGCAAGCTCTGCTGACCTACTTGCTGCTGGATGGGGCTGAGGTAGAGCGGGGGTCGGGGGCTGATGTGGAGGAGCTGTGTGATGGGTGAGGGTGCACTCTGGCTGGAGCAACTGAGCCACACTGGCTGGAACTGCAGGTGCTCCTGAGCCCAGCAGAGCCTCTGGAATGACTGGTTCCTGAGAAGAGAGAAGATAGAGGATTGACAGCCCTGAGTGGGGAATATGCTCGTACCTCTGGTGACAAGGTTGTTTGGTTAGGAATCCCTGTACTTTGACTGACAGGTTTGGCCGGGTGAGAAAGGTCAGAGCTGGTTGGTTAAGTTCAGGCTAGATATTAACACTTCTTGCTGTCATTGACAGTGGCAGCTGAGAATGTTCGAATATGGGGGATAGCCATAGCATCGCAATAATAATAACAAAGCCACTACCAATGTAGTGCTCACTCTAAGTATTTTTTATCTAGTAACTCATTAACCCTCACAACAAATTTATGAAGTAGGTACTGTTCTTATCCCTGTTTGACAAGTGGCGAAACTGGGGCACAGAAAAGCAAAGTGACACGCCTGTGGTCACACAGTGAATGGCAGAGCCCAATTCTACCAGACCCAAAATGGCCTTTGC